TGGCTGTGAGGTCAAAACAGCCCGTTAGGAGGGATGGGCTAGAATTTCCTCATTGCACACTTTCTACCCCTTCTTTCAGTTCGTAATAACCTACATTTGCTCTTTTTCTAGTCTTCTGTAAGCATACCTGCCTCCAACCTCTGCTTAAAAGTTAATCTCTGAGACTGAGTATTGTAAAGTAAATTTCATCAGGTCCTGTCTACTTGAAAATACTTAGCTTACCCTAGTAGATTTTAAACTATTTTCCTATAGACACAAGTGTTCTTATGAAGATATTCTTGTGGGTTTGCGTCTGATGTTAATTGTGGTAGCTGTCTGGATCTCTTTTTTTTTTTTTTTAAAGAGGGTTTGAAGCTAAAAGGGCGTAACTACGTAGGAGTCTAGCTGTCTGGATTTCTTTTTTTTTTTTTTTTTTTAAAGAGGGTTTGAAGCTAAAAGGGCGTAACTACGTAGGAGTCGAGGTACCACCTGGTTGTGGTGGTCTGCACTGAACAGTGGATCCCGAGTTGTAACTGTATCAGCAGCTGCTAGCAGTATTGAAAGAGAAAACAGAGTCAAAAAAGTTGATGCCAAACATTTTTGGTCTCCACCGAGGGGTTGGGTAGGCGTCCGGTTCAGATCAATGGGATGCTTTCCTATTACTTTTCTGTCTCTTGGTGGATGTATCAATTTGTGGCTTTACCTGTCTCATTGCCTCTTGTGCTTTATGATCCTTCCACGATCTCCTTGAGGAATCTGACTTCCATGCATTGCACTCTAGTTTCATCTTGCTGAGAAGCTCTTAGTCACCACACTTCCTATCTTTCCCTGTCATGGGGGTGCTTTCTGCGGGTGTCCTTTGTCTTGCTGCTTCTCAGGAGGTCCCACATACTGCCTCAGAAGGTTCTGCACACTATGATTGAGCAAACAATGCAAATAAAGACAATACAAAATTTGTACAAAAACTGCTGCAAATAATGAATATATTTCTGCTGTAGCAGAAATAAGTTATGCAAATCAAAAAAATTTATTTTTTAAAGGGTTACCGATGATTCTGCTGGTTGCTGAACACAGATCTTGAGATTTCTCAAGGGAAGTCTGATATCAGAAAGCTCTATGAATAATTCTGGAAATGGGAGAGAGAAACTGGGAGTCACCCAGGATATCTGGTGCAAAGAGAAAGGCTAGAAAACTTAGGAAAAGGCTAGAAAATATTTGGTGTGTAAGTCAGGGAAGAAGAAATTGAGAGAATATACCACTTCAACCCTGCATCTTAAGAAGTTTGTAAAACAGGAAGGGGAAGAAAGCGCTTGCTGAGTGACATGTAGTGTCTGGCCAGAATTTAAACATTCCCTAGGGTTTCATATCATAGAATCATAGAATCATAGGTTGGAAAAGACCTCTAAGATCATCAAGTCCAACCATCCACCCAACACCACCATGCCTACTAAACCATATCCCGAAGTGCCACCTCTACATGTTTTCTGAACACCTCCAGGGATGGGGACTCCACCAGTCACCAGTTTGCTCTAAGTGCCTCTCAATAACTTCGCCAAGCTCTTTTAAACCCTTCTAAAATATTTTGGTCTTTCTCAGGTTTTTCTGCCTGCTTCGCGCCCTCCAAGACACCCATCTCGTCGCGCTGTCCCTGCTGCCTGGTGTTCTTTGAGAAGGTGGCCAGCAGCCCTGCGCTGCCCGCGGGTGCGGCACGCCGGGGAGACCGACGTCTCGGTGACACCCCCGACACACGCGGACGGCCTTGTGCTGCTGCTCGTGCTCTCGCTACCGAACCTGGCTATTTGAAGTTTGCAGGAGAAAGTTGCGAGTGTTTTAACCACAAAAGCAGGGGCGAAATACCGGTGTTCCGTGCCTCGCCAAACAAGTTGAGACAAAAAGTCTTGATGCACGGTCCAAACCGAAGTTTCTCTGCTGATGGAGAAAGCTGCTGCAAATCTCTGGATTTGAAGTCTGTAGCATTTCCCCTCCTTCTCCCACCTGGTTTTGAGATTCTCTTTAATCTTTAATTGTATCCCTTTGGCCTAGTCTTCCCACGCCCTGAATTGTTCCCTTTTCACCCCTCCTTCCTTTTCTTATGGTTCTCAGGGTGGAAAAACACTTCCTTAAAACAAGTGTGAAATGTATTTCTCCCTGTGGAATAGCTGTAATCTTAATTTAATCCAATTACCTTGGCTCAACATATTAGCAGGATGCTTTTGTGAACAGTTGACCTTTTTAAAATCTGTGTCCTTGGATTACAGAGCCGAGGTCTGGGGGAGAGGAGTGGAGGTGTTTGATGCCCTGAGAAGCTGCCACCAGCGGGCCGGGAGCCCGGTGCCTGCGTTGGTTAGGGGGATGCAGTTTGTTCAGCTCTGCTCTGCCACCGGTGAATTAGCACCTTGCCCCTTCACACAAAATAGAGAAGAGTGGCTTGAGCTCTCTGCACACGCTGTTAAACGCGTGGGCTTACGAGTTTCATGTGCTTTAACTTGCCTTTTGATAAGTTTGAGGTTTGCAAATGGAGCCCGGTACAAAGATGTTAGTTAGCTATCCGTAAATAAATGCGTAAAAATGAATATATTCAGAGCCCTCTCTAGGTCACAGACCCAAAGTAAAACACATAAGCTGAATCCACAATACAAAAGTATCTGTCTGCAACTCCGTAGCAGAATATGTTATTTTATCTTGGTTCACTGAGGAGCAGAATATGATGCAACCCTTTGGGGCAAGTCTAAAGAGCAACCAAATACAATTCTTTGAATTATTCTACCTAACTGAATACACAACATTATTCGGAAACAGTTATTTGGCTAAACTTCATTAGACATAAGACTTATTTTTCTTTTTTTCCTGTGTCTTGCCGGGTAATGTTCTTTCTATTGTTAGGATAACAAGTATCCCCAGATTTAATTTCAGTAACCTGAGTACCACAGCAGGGTATAGAATTGTTTCCAAAGACAGTAGATTGTGTTTCTGTCTAGGAACAAAATTCATATTGGCAGTGGTTTTCATTGCAGTTTCTCTGTTGCGTGGTTGAACAGTTTCATTCATTATTTTTATTATTCAGATGCACGCAGCTTTCCTTTCAGCTGAGTGCAACATTCAGCTGATTTTCAGGCATCATCTTTCTGGTACTACTTTTGCTCCACCTTGCTTTTACGTAGGCAGCTTTAATGCAGACGTACTAGTTAATGTGAAATAAATGTAGTGGTTGTGCTTTCACTGAGGACAACAATTGTTGACAAGCAGAGGAGAACAGTTGTCCAACGCTGCTCTTGATGTCGTGTCTCGTATTTCGTTGACGGAAAGCTCATAGTAGTGGAAGTTACCGGTCCTCTCAAAGCCATCCTTTCAAATGGGGAAGGAAAAATGTAGCTTGCACTAATACTACCTGGGCACAGACTTGTATGGGCCGAAGGAGTTTTTCCAAAGAAACGTAGCTTTGGGGGTGCATACTTTGTTCATCTTTGGTTTTCTTAACTGAAACGTTCTCAACTCACGTGGATGTAGCAATCTTTCGTGTGTATTTAAAAAGGTCCAGACCAGGCTGAAGCAGGTCATACGACTGTCACTCAGCTTCTCAAAGGAAAAAAATTGCTGAATTTTCCACACAAAACCATCGACCTAGCCTTTAAGAGTGAAACGTCGAAGTCCACCTTTAGACTCCCATAAATAGTTAGATTCCCTTGTGATGAATATGAGGTATGAACCTGTACTGGTGCAGGACCTTGCTGTGAACAGTTCACTGCTGCCTTTCCTGTAACCCCACTGTTGTGTTCGATACAGTGAAATACACTTCTTAACAATCCATCAATTAAAAAAAAATTACTGTGTTTTTATTTTAACAGGCAAAACGAAGGCTGGAGCTAGGAGAAAGTGGCCACCAGTATCTTGCAGAAGGACTAAAGACTCCAAAGGGGAAAGGAAGAGCTGCGACAAGAAGTCCAGACAGTCCAAAAAGTAAGGGAACTTGTCACACGTGGTATGGCACGGAGTTTTTGATTTCACTACCTTGAGATCAGAGTGAACCAGTACAACAGACTGTGTTACCTGGCTAAAAACCTGTGTTCGTCACTGTCCTCACCTGGGTGTGCATGCAACCTGCTCATCCCCACCGCGGCGGGCATCGGTCGGCCGGTGCGGAGCTGCCGAGGGGCCGCAGGGTCTCCTCCCTGCTGGGTCTGTCCAGCCTCGCTGCCCAGGACCTCCTCTTCAGCCAAGGACATGACGCTGGGGATGCTCAGGCGGGGCAGATGCTGAGGCATCAAGATATTACGACGGGACCAAACGCACCGTTATTAGGCAAGGTGAATCAGGCCAGCCTCCTCCTTCCTCGCGAAGGTTACAGCAGGCGATGGGCCGGGCTCCTTCCCCCGGGCAGGGATCTGCAAAGAGCGGTAGCTGTGCCCCGGCAGCCCTGAAGGCTCAGTGCTTCTTGTGGGCTCCGAGCTGCCTTCTCTCCCCGCAATATGACTAGATTATTAGTGCCACTGCTTAGCTGCTGCAAGTATTAATTTTTGCACATCTGTATTGCCTTGGGCAGTAGGTTTCTTGCAACAGGAACTGGGGGTGTAGCCTTGCTGTCTTGTTTGGGGGATTTCAGCAGGAG